GCTCGTTAATCACTATGCCCACCTTCAACATGCATAACCTGGCACTGGGGAATGGGGAGCCCTGCAAACTTCAGCAAGACACTGGGATGGAGCTCTTTAAACTGAAGATTTTGGAGAGCACCCAACCCAACAACTTGGCCCAACAGCCCAGTCTGACAGTTCAGCCCCCTAGCCCAACTCAACAACCCAGCCCTACAACTCAACCCAACCCAACAACTCAGCCCAACAACCCAGCCCTACAACTCAGCCCAACAACCCAGCCATACAATGCAAACCTACAACCCAACCCAACAACTCAGCCCAACAACCTGGCCCTACAACTCAACCCAAGAACCCAGCCCAACAACCCAACCCAACAACTCAGCCCAACAACCTAGTCCTACAACTCAACCCAACACCCCAACTCTACAACCCAACCCAACAACCCAGCCCTACCGTGCAAACCTACAACCCAACCCAACAACTCAGCCCAACAACCCAGCCCTACAACTCAACCCAAGAATCCAGCCCTACAGCCCAACCCAACAATCAGCCCTTCAACTCAACCCAACAACCCAACTCTACAACCCAACCCAACAACCCAGACCAACAACCCAGCTGTACAATGCAAACCTACAACCCAACCCAACAACTCAGCCCAACAACCCAGCCCTACAACTCAACCCAACAACCCAACTCTACAACCCAACCCAACAACCCAACCCAACAACTCAGCCCAACAACCCAGCCCTACAACTCAACCCAACAACCCATCCCAAGAACCCAGCCCTACAGCCCAACCCAACCCATTCCCATACACACTTAGGACACCCATCACTGAAATTGGCCATTTGTGTCACAGTGCTATTTTGGAGGGTTTCTGCTAATCTCACAGCCATGGGTGCTGAAGATGAGGAAAGCCCCCTGCACTGGGGATGCTGAGCAGCCACAGGGAGCAACACTGTGTGTGGGGGGGGCACAGCACTGCGCAGTCTTTTCCCTGCAGCCTCTGCTGTTAGCAGAACAAACATAGGCTGGAAATCTTCAATGGCTGCCCCAAGCACAGCGGGCTTGTTTGCAACTGTTATTAGTAAATAATTAATAATGTAGACAAACCAATGACAGCAAAATCAGCTCTGTCTTGCTGTGCCTGCTGTAGCCAATGAATGTGAGCGAGCTGAACACAGATCAGAAATTTTTCTGCTTCCCAAGGAGCGTCACAGAGAGCTGGCAGCCTTTTAGCTGCCCTTTCTTGGGAGCAGTTTGGTGCATTTTGGGTTGCAGGGATTGCTGGCAGGATGCTGGGTTGGAGCTGCTCTCCGTGGGATGTAGATCTTGAGTGGTCATCCCACTCCTGGAGGTGGGGCAGTACGACCACTTCTTTGCTTGTCTGTTTTTCAAGGAGCAAAGCAAAGCGGTGTTTTTGCAGGGTTATTTTGTTCTCTCCACTCCACGATCAGCTTTATTTTTATTTTTATTTTTTTTTCAGCTGAGGCAATTCTTGGCTGTGGGAAGCCAACTAAAAATGGCACATTGTCTGCACCTTGAGTTTCTGACACAACCTCAGCACAGATGTTGTCAGCGATTGTGTTTTTGACAGTAACAAGACACTCTGTAACTCAGATGCTGGGACTTTCTGTTCTGCTGCCTCTGGACTTAATGAAAACAGGGTTTGTTTGAGAAAGAGAAAACCTTTCGGAGTTAATTTCATCTCAGTTCAAACCAGGGGATTCGGAGGCAAGAACTGCAATAACTGCAGCTCACATTTATGAGGAAATCTGAGGAAGGGTGAGGAGAGGATTTCCTTTTCCTAAGGACAGGAAGAGAAAAATCCTTTCCATTTCACACCAAGAGATTATGAACAGTAGAGGAAAAAATTACTTAACGAGTTTTTTCTAAAACGAAGAATGGCATAAAGTGCTGGTTAAATTCCCATTGATCTTTCACTCAGCTTCCCATATGCATGTGGGTTTGACTATTTGAGATTTCCCTTCGCTGTCATAGGTAATAACTGAGTGGAAACAATCATTTCTAAATAACTGCCTATGATTCTTCTATTGTAGTGATTAGTGCTGAATAATTATTAGCTCTGCTGAAAATTGCATTGATAGCTATGGCACGAGTAATGAGGAGCTGTCAGCTGGCAGCTGTGCATCAACTGGTGGCAAGCAGAGCCCTGCACCTATGGCTGGGACCCATAGATTGGACTCATCCTGTAGGTGGGACCTGTAGATGGTGCTCATCCCTGTGCCTGTGGCTGGAGCCCGTAGATGATGCTTATTCTTGCACCTATAGCTGGGATCTGTAGGTGATGCTCATTCCTGCACCTATAGCTGGAGCCTATTGATGGTGCTCATCCCTGTGTTTGTAGCTGGGATCTATAGATTGTGCTCATCCCTGTGCTTGTAGCTGGGGCCTTTAGCTGGTGCTCATCCATGCACCTGTAGCTGGGACCTATAGATGATGCTCATCCCTGCACCTATGGCTGGAGCCTATTGATGGTGTTCATCTCTGTGCTTGTAGCTGGGACCTGTAGATGGTGCTTATGCCTCCCCCTATAGCTGGGACCTACAGATGGTGCACATCCCTGCACCTATAGCTGGGCCCTAAAGATGATGCTGATCCCTGTGCCTGTAGCTGGAGCTGATCAATGGTGTTCATCTTTGTGCTTGTAGCTGGGACCTATAGATGCTGCTCATCTCTCTGCCTATAGCTGGGACCTATGGATGGTTCTCATCCCTGCACCTATAGCTGGAGCCTACAGATGGTGCTCATCCCTGCTCCTATAGCTGGGCCCTAAAGATGATGCTGATCCCTGTACCTGTAGCTGGGGCCTACAGATGGAGCTCTTCGCCGCACACAGCAGCAGCGGCTGCTCTTGAGCAGCTCGGGTTGTACTCAGTGTCCTAAAGGGACACAGAGGGAACATAAAAGAGAGATTTTCCTGCTTCGGAAATGAGGGAAAGACAGAACCTGTTGTATTGCCCTTGGAATGGCTGATACAGAGTGAATACCGACGTCGGGTCCTGCTGCATCTGCAGGCACACGGAGGAGCACCAGAGGGAAAGCACAGAGACACGTTAGAGAACACAGGAAGCCGAGGGTTGGGAGGATGACTGCTCACAACTCAGACAGATTCATGGCCTCTGTGCTCCGAAGTAAAGGAGTTTATCAAAGGTGGGGACAGAGAGTGATGGTGAATACGCAGGGAGAGGCAGAGGCTGATCCTTCACCGAAGCTCTCAGGCTGCTCTGTCACTGGGGCACAGCTCCCATCCTGCAGTGCTCGCCTCCGTGTGACAGAGGCAGGTCCTTCTCTCTGCTATGGATCCAGACTTTGATTCCAGTACTTGGTCCCCGTTGCACTTTTCAGTGCCTTCAACAGAAAAGTTTTGCGGTCGTTGTTTCAAGCAAAAATGCTTGCTAACACAGAGCAGTCCTTAAGCAAACAGCATTTCTGTCACCTGAGCAGAACAAGGTGGATCTCCACCTGCTTTGCTGCTTTGTTGGCTCCTCACGTGCTCCTCTTTGCTCACACCCCATATGTGAGCTGCTCTGCAAGTCCAGGGCTGCTCCCCAGCCTGTGATTAGCCTAGGACTGACTCTCCAATACATGAAAATAATCGATGGTCAATAAATAACGAACAGAAGACAGGATGCAGACAGTCCTGCAAGGAGGAGAGAAATGGTTGTTGAGAGGCTCTGACCTCCTTGTGCAGCTCTCTGCAACAGGAGGGACTGCACTGGTGGGATGTGCACTTAACCAGGGGTGGTATTTGGAATAGGATTTAGTGCCATTTGTTGTGAATGCACGGCATACTGAATGTATTAGGAGAGAACAGTGAAAGAGAAAAGCTTGCTAAGGAACCAGTGCTGCCATCCACTGAGTGTCTCCTGCTCCCTCTCCTGAGCTAAACAGCTTCAACTTAGCATCTCTCCAGGGTGTCAGAATGCTCTGCTCCAGAGCCTCAGCGATGTCACAGGGATCCTCTTCCAAGAGATGGGGCTGAACTCTTGACTGTGCCACACAGGGTGGTGTCCCCATGTTCCAATGAGAGTTCCACAGGCACTATTGGAAAGGAAAATCTTTTTTTGTAGGATGGTAAATGTTGCAACTAGCTTGGAGCCAGACTGGCTTCCTAACATGCACTGCATTGCAGCATTGTCCCGAGCACCGGGGGGTGAACATGGGGGACCTGCCTGGCTCCAGGGCGAGCTGCTGCCTCTGGGTTCCATAGAGCTCCCAGGTGCCAGGCGGTCAGCGGCTGTGCAGCGCAGCACTGGGGCACACAGGGAGGGATCCCACCTGAGCTGTGGTGCCCATAGGATTCCTGCTGCCAGCTGGGCGCAGCTGTGCTTGGGCTCTGCCCACCTCTGGCAGCACAGAGAGGTGATGGCTGTGGCTTCAGGGGCTCAGCACAGCACATACAGCAGAGACTGCTGGAACTGATGCGGCCTCGAGGGAAAACTGAGTTGCCAACGTGAGCCCATTCTGCAGATGGGGAAAGTGAGGAACGGAGCTCAGCGTCCCTCACCCTGCCGACCCTGGGTGCAGAGCGTGTCCCGAGTTCGGGCTTGGGAACGGAGACCAGGAGCCTCTGCTCCCCTCCTCCCGGAGCCGATGGGAGGCTGAGACCCAGGAAACGTGGGGCAGGGGAGGGAGCCCTTAATTCCACCTCCCCCACCCGGGCGTGCTGATGCTCGGGGAGCCGCATCCTCCCGAGGGGCGGGCAACCCTTAGGGTTTTTCGTCGGCGCAGCACCGCTCCCCGAGCACCTCCCAGGCTCAGGTGCACCCACGGGGCCGCTCGTTTCCCTTCCCGGGGCCGCAGCGCAGCGCAGAGGCGGACGAAGGGTTAAGAGCGGGGAACGGGGGCGGCGCGGGGGGGGCGGCGGCGGGCGGAGGGGGGGAGCGGAGCGGAACGGATCGGATCGGAACGGAACGCAGCGCGGTGCTCGGCGGCGGCGGAGGGAGCGCGGGGCTCGGCAGCGGGCGGATGCCGGGGAGGAGGGCGGAGGGCAGCCGGCCCCCCCCGCCCCCCCGCCGCCGCTGCTGTCGGGCAGAGCTGAGCCGCGAAGCTGAGCTGCGGGAGGCGGAGGAGCGGCGGGCGATCGGCTGCGGGTTTTCAGGCTGGCGGGGGCTGCGTGGATTACCCCGCCGTGAGCCGGGGAGACCCGAGGAGGAGGCGGGCGGCGGCGGCGGAGCGGTGCGGTGAGTGAGGGGTTGGGTTGGCGGAGGTGCGGCTGTCCCCGGGGTGCGGGGCTCCACGGAGCATCCCCGGCTTGGGGATGAGGTTCGGCCCCGGGTGACCGCAGCCCTTTCTCCGGCCCCGCGGCCGCGCAGCGCTGGTGGCACCGAGGCGGGCGGAGCTCGGCGGCCCTCCGGGAGCTGCCGGCGGCTGGCACTGCGCTGCGAGCGGCGTCGCGGGGTGCTCCCATCGGCGGCTGAGGGAGGGATGGAGAAATCCCTCGAGCTGCCTGATTCCTGGTCACCTTTCCTTCCTCCCTTCCCGTTCTGTTGGGTTTGTGTATAAACGCCGTACAGACGGATGGTTCCTCCGGAATTTTGTTGTCGTTTGTTACCGCTTGGTTGTGGGTTGGAACGCTCGGTGCATCGGAACCAACTGCTGGCCGTGAAAGTTCCCGGCGGCATGGATGGGCTCCTCAAAGCATCCCCCGAATCTTAGAGGGAAAAAAATAATAACCAGACCCTTCTAAAACTTCCCTACATCCCTGCGAGACCTTCACTGAGAGGCACTGGGGGATGGCAGGGGATGCGTTCCTGCTTCTTTTGGGAAATCTCAGCCCTGAGTGATGCCCAAAGCCCCACAGCCCCCCACATTGCTGTGCCCCTGACCCCCCCGTCACCCCGTGCCCGGGCCTTACGGCTTTGTTTCCATTCAAGCCGATGCTTCGCGTTCCTGGAGGTGAAGTGAATGATACTCAATTAATCCATGTTCTGAGGGGTATCAGAAAGTCAATAGGTTAATATAAAGTGAGGTGAATAGTAAGTGGCGGAGGGGAAAAATAAACCTCAGCCTTGTCCATCTGTGACCTGCAGTTCAAGGGACGGGCTGGGAGGTGAGGGAATGAAGTTCACGAAGTGCCTCCATGCGCTGAGTGATGCTGGCAGGGTTTCCTCGCCCTGTGCTGAGCACTCGGTGCTGCTGTGGTGGTTTGGAACCATCCAACAGATCCCAGTCTGCTGCGGGGAGCTGCACTGGGCTGCCCTTGGCTGGGTGGCTTCACTGATAACGACGCCTCTGGAAGTTAAATCAGATGACCTACTTAGAGCAGAGATGGATCCCTCAGAAGAAATCTGTGCCATTCTCGGAACAGATGTTTGGCTTTTTTTTTTTTTTTTTTTTCCTTTAACACCGAGGTGTTAGATCCTTTAAAAAGTGATTTTTTGCTTTATTGCTGTCCTTTTGCCATTTGTTGTCGCTTTGAGGATCCTCAAAGCGTAAATGTGATATTGGGGCAGTTCAGGGAAACAGATAAAAAGGCTTTAAATTGGGAAACTTGGTGCAGGCGATGAGTAATGCTCACATATACCTGTTGGGAAATGGCTCATAGAAAGAACCTGCCATCCTCTGCTCATCAAATCATCTCCACTGCAAGAAGATAAAGTAACACCCTTTACTTTTCATTGTCTTGATAGCGTTATTTGATGTAATTAATTGTGGGACTGGTAACAAGTTTCTGCAGTAGGAGCAGGTAACAGATGCTGCATCAGATCTGCACACAACCCACCACTATGTTAAAAACAGCTTTTCCTGGTGCTCTTATCACTCTGTCTCGCTCTTCACATTAACCCTGAGGTTTCTCTGCCTCTCTTAACTTCGGTGAGATGCAGAAGGGAAAACAGACCCAGGCTGGATGGGGGAAACGGGGAGAGAGGTGACTGCTGCTGCCCTGTGCTCTTTAACTCTCTGCAGCAAATTACATTAGTATGTGACAAATTGGCTTGCAAAGCAGCTAAATGGGAATGACATTTGGAGTAGTTTGCAGTGCAGACCTTGTGGTGTCTCGGGGAAGCATGGGATGTGTGATATCTTCTCCAGTTAACCACGGCTCTGAGGCTTTACTTCAGGAACTCCTGTTGCAGCCAAATGTGGGAGGTTGGAGCGTGTCTTGGGATAATTGCCCAAAAGCTATGTGGCAAACGTGGGTGCGGGCTGTCTCATGCAGTAGGCAGCTTGTGTGTGAGGAGCTGAGCTGGGAAAAGCAAAAGCTGACACCCAGAAACTGCAGGGCTACGGGAGAGAGGGCTGCAGGAGGAGAGCTGCTCCCATTCGGTGATGCTTTCCTGCAGGGCTGTCTGTGCCTCCGGGGCACCTGAGTTTGGGGGAGGCTGTGAGCAGCTTTGGAGGAGCAGACTGAGCTGTTCTGCATAACAGCACCCTGCTGCTGCCCCACATCTCCACGCTGCCTGATGTGGCAGGGAGCAAGCCATCCCAATGGGCCCTTCTGCAGCTCCAACAAGAAGTATGTGAGGCTCTCCCTGCCCGCGACTGGGGCTGTCACAGCTGACAGAAGTGTCTCTGCTGGGCACTGGGGGTGTGAGCTGCCCAAACCTGTGGCAATGTGTTCCTGAGCTCTTGCCCATCTCCAGGCGCTGCTGATTATTCAGCTAATCTTTATTTCATGCTCCTGTTACAAGAAATACATACGGGGGAGAAAGTGGAAGGCGGTGACACATTTAAAATACACAAGAAAAACGCTGGCAGGAAAATAATTGTTCTTATTCCAGAGGGATGAAATATTGATGGGCCGAAGTTGTGGCAGGATTCTCACCCCACAACTCTTTTGTCCCTGTGCAGCACCCAAGAGGGGCTGGCTGTGCTGTGTGCCCACTCCCTATTAACTCGGGGTAACCCATGGGCAGCCCATCACCATCTCATGAACATCCCTTTGGGGCCCACATTGTGCAGGAGCCCGCTTCTCTCTCGGGGCACTCAGCCATTAATTCATTAGATCTGAGGATTTCCCCCCCCTCTCTCCCCCTTCTCTTTTATTTTTTTTTTCCCTCTCCCCTGCAATTCAGACAGTGATGAATGGACAGAAATCCCTCAAGGGAAACATTTTTTCTCTTAGTTACAAAGATTTCATGGCTAATTAGAGTAAATGTGGGTTTTTAGAGTGTTAATCTCTTAACCAGCTTGGCTGGGGGGGGGGGAGGGGGCTGCCACCTCTCCAAAAGGAGAGGGCCGGGCAGGGAGCAGGGGTGCTGCCGAGCTCCTGTGGGGCTTTGTGCCCACCACCCTCTGCATGTGAGCATTCATCACCGGGGGGAGCACCCGGTGTGCGATCTCACAGCGTGGAGCCGCGGGGAGGGAAGCGGGGAGCGGCTGCCGGGTGCGCTCCGTTTCGTTCTAGACAGCGGAGGGGCTGCGGACAGATGTACCGCCTCGACCCGAAGTATCGCCTCGGCTCGAAGTACCGCCTCGACCCGAAGTACCGTCTCGACCCGCTAGAGGGGACCCTCCGGAGGATGCTCCATGCGAGGATCAGAGCGGGGACGCGCCGTCGGGACGCAGCTGCGCTCCGCCGTGGCGGCCGCACCGCCGGGGTTGCGGGTCCGGTGCTCCCGGGGGAAGTTCTGCCTAGAATGAGGAATTCGGGTAGATTTCTTCTTAGAAAAAGTGGGGATGTGTTGCAGTAGGTCGCCCAGGGAGGTGGTGGAGTCGCCGTCTCTGGAGGTGTTTTGGAGCTGTGGTGATGTGGCAGTGAGGGATGTGGTTTGGTGAGGTGAACCTCCTGTTGTCTGACAGATCCCATCTCCTGTTTCTGGCCGAGATTTCTGGTTCTGCTTGGGTGATGTTGAACTGGGAGGTGCTGATAAATGTATCGTATTCTGAAAGTTTAATCCTGCTTTGCCTGGGCTAAAATTGCATTCAGAGCAGGAGATAAAAGGCATCAGTCGCATTATAAAAGAAAAGCTCAGATTATCTGAGAGGGTGGTGTGACAGCATAGGCAGCCCCACAAACTGGGCCCTGTGCTGTGCTCACAGCAGCTGCTGCTCCCAGCCAACCAGATCCTGTATGCAGTTGCACTGACAGCTCCAGGTGTGACTGTGCTCAGTGCCATTCCATTGCGTGGCAGAAGAGTGGTGCTTCCAAAGAGCAGGGCTCTGCTGGAGGCATTTTGTCACGCAGCCCATTCATTTCTATTGCAGTTCCCTGTATTGTGTGCCTGATCTCCTGTCCTTCAAATCCCTGTTGGTGTGATGGGCTCGTGGATAGCCAGGGCTATTCTAAAGCATGGGGCACATGGAGAGGGTCCCAGCCATCCATGGCAGGGATGGTTGAACAACCCCAAGCACACTGTGGGGGCCAAGTGCTCTGCTGCAGGCTCTTCTCCAGAACCACAGTGCTCACTGCTACAGCAGTTTCCCAGGTGGGACTGTTCCTTGCAGCCCTTTTCCTGCTCTGACGCAACTTCCCCACTCCATAAAAGTGAAAGGTGACGTCTGAATAAATATTGCCCTGACCTCTCACCTCACCACCTCCCGCTGCTGCTTTCCCTGAGCTCGGCAACAGAGCTGTGGCTGTGCAAGAGCTCAGCACTGGGGCAGAGCTGGCAGGGAGGGTAGCCCCCCATCCAGCCCCCCTCCCAGCCCTGGAGTGAGGTGAGTGGGGCTGGGGCTGTGATGGGTGGCTTTGTGGGGTTGTGCTGGGCACAGGTACAGCTGCAAAACCCCTATTAGGAAAGCACTGTGCAGAGCTAGCATGGGACAGGAGCTGGGATGGCACCTGGCACCGACCAAGGGTGGGTGCTCCCATGGACTGCACCAGCTGTGGAGAAGCCCTTAGGGTTCATGGACAAGGCTTCCTCCATTGGGAAAGGGAATTTGTCAGCTCCTCATTATGATGTCCCAGTGAAGCAATGGGTTGCAGTCCATGGAGAGGCTGTTCCCTGCACCTATCAGGAAGGTGAAAGGAAACAGCCTATTTTGCTTTCAGCTCCCGGCTGGCTGCAGACAGCGTTAGAAAAACAGAAGTTTTAACTCGCACGAGGGTGGGCTGTGAGCACCCTGTGCTGCATCTCAGGGCACCGAGTGCTGCTGGGGAAAACAGGAACCCCCCCGGCTCCATGCGGGCTGGGCAGGAAGGCAGCGGGATGTGGCAGCCCTGAGTCAGCACAGCAGCACCTCGTGCATCCAGCCAGGAGCTGGGAGCAGATCCACTGCCCAGGGACATTTACCAGGA